CTTGCAAGAACGCGCCAGAAACGAGGGTGTCGAGTAATCTGGTGCACGTGCTCCCCGCCGCCTCAGCGCGGCACGGCTTCCTTCATCGCAACGAGAAATGAGAGAGGGAAGGAAATGCATGTTGGAAAAGGAGGGCTGGCCCAGATCTGCCCAGAACCACTGCTCTCACTCAGCTGCACAGGAGGATGCTCCCCGAGCTGGGAATTGGGGCTGCTCATCTTTCCAAAGCTGGGCTGAAGTGGTGTTAATGGGCAAAGGATCAAACCGCAATCACGCCTCTCCTTCCTTCCACCTCGGCTCTGCCATCCCCTCGCCTGTTTTTATTTCACCGTGCCTTGCTCCTTCATGGGCAAAAGGAACTAACGTGCTCCGTTGCCTGAGGAATAAGGTGAGGGAAGCGTTAAGGAGAGTGGGAAAACCACGGTGCAGGAAGAGAGAGGGTTAGGTGATGGAATATGCAGCAGCAACAAACCCGCCTGGGAGTGTGGATGTTGGTATCTGCACCATCGAAAAGCTGAAGAGCTTAAATCAATGCAGAGAAGACAGATCTAGAGCCAACCTGGCTCAGATGATGAAGCACCAGGTAGAAGGAAGAGAAGAACCTCATGCACCAGAGGTCCTACAGCAGCACAGGCTGGAGTTTGGAGGGGCTGCAGGAACAGCAACGTGATCGGTGGCAGCTTGAATGCAGCAGGAGGAAGGAGGAATCCAAGCTCACCCCAAGTCTGGGAGATGCAGTGGAAGTTTCACATTAGCCTCCCCTCCTTGCCACAAAATAAGAAGAACAAACTGTCCAACAAGGCACATCAAATCTGGACACTGGAATCAGCAGAAGAAAACAAGAGAGAGAAAACATGAAGAAACTAAGTCTGGCAAAAATAGATGTGAAAATCACTGAGACACCCTCCTGAAGCAGAAAACACCACTCCTAATAGCTTTAGTTTTATCCTCAGATCATTAAATATGAACAATAAAGTGCTTCTTCCCTAGTACCATTTTAATTCAAGCCTTGCAGCACTCGCTCAAGGACAAAACAGGAGAACTTTGGAGAGGATGCAACAAGGGTAAGACAATGTAACACCTCTGGAAAAATAATCTCATGGAAGAGGCTGCCCAGCAAGTGACACCTCTTCCACAGGTTCCCCACGCTGCTCTGCAGATGACAGGTGGGCAAGCCAGCCCTTCCCAGCTGTACATCACGATTCACCACCATCACCTCAGCAAACCCACTCAGATGCTGGCTTCTGGGGTAAGAAAACCCAGCCCTATGTGTGCCAAATGCACACCACCCACCGTGGTGAATCTTCCCACAGGTCACGCTCTCCGTAACGTTTGTCACTGATGGGTAATAAGTTTATCCTGAAATGGGTTATGCTATAATATTTTAGCCAAAAAGATAAATTATTTTCTCCTACCAAACTCCAGTTAGCTTTCCTTCAAGTGTTTCTCTCCCAAAGTTGATTGCATGAATAAAATCAACAGGACTGTTCCCATTCTGGATGGCAAGACTTGGAGAAGAGCTCCCACCCCTGCGACTGCTACGCAGATGCTATTTTAGTATTTCCCATCCAAGGTTCATAGCCTCACCATGCAGAACGAAACAAACCACCTTTCTCAGCAGAAAGTGTTTTAAGTTAGTTTTAAGGATGAGAATCATGATATTTAATTTTACAGTCCATGTTATTTAGCATCTTACATGCTTAGACTGTGTCATAGCAGCTTCCAAGACCCACTTTCTCATTTTCTAATTGGAAGGTGTACTAAAGGTGATAACTCTTCAACTGACTTTGTTGTTCTTTTTTTAGGCACTCTACTTTTAGTCACCAGATAAAGGGATTAGAGTCTTACATCACCCTTTAATACCTCTGGAAGAAAACACGACACTTAGAAGGACCTTCCTCAGTCTAGCACTATTTTAAAATCCACTATCCAATTGTCCCCTTGACAGGTATTCAAGTTGGTAAAGGTAAACTATTCTTTAGTATTATAAGGTTAAAAATAGCTGCCAGAAATTAAATCAGCAGCTGAAGACTACAGGTTCAGATAGAAAACAAGAACCAGAATTCCCAGCAGGGAAAGCATTAACGAGCTGCAAGGCTGACAATTATCAAACCACCCATCTCAAAGTCTCAAACAGCAAACACAGTGTTACAGAAAGTGTTGCTAAATCTATCGGCATGACGGAAAATTACTTTCACTCTATTTTTGGTATTGAAAAGTCAATAGATCTACACATAAAATAAACCTAAGCATACCTAACGACTAAAGTCACTCGTAAAACAATTTTATTGTCAGAACTGCTGTGGGAAGAGACAGTTGGTCTCTTCAGTTCCCATCATTCAGTTCCCATGACAGTTCCCATCACCACTCCTATCAAAAGTTGTCTGAGGAATTAACAGGCATCTATAAATTAGGAAAAAGAAAAATAATCACAAGGAGGAATATTACCTGGCTGCAACTTAAATGGTATTTCAAGAACGAGTGGTTGGTAGAGGACAGCATGCTGCTAACTCTGCAGTGTGGTCTTTACTGGTTCTAACTCTGCAGAGAACAAACTGAGCCAAGATCTCTCTTCAGGAGCTGCAGGAAGTACTTCAGCTCACCTCAGCTCTACACTTTGTTCTCTCCTCAAGAGCCATCGTGTCTCACCAGGGATGACAAATGCTCAACAAACTCTCATCACAAGGGGCTGATCCAAGACACAGCCCAAGCATCACGTCTAAAACTCTTTCTTTGGTTGAACGCCCGTTTCCCTAGATAAGGAAGGCACAGCAATGAACCATAAAACCTACCGAGGGACAAGAGGATGGATCAATATTTTTGAGTGACCTGGTGCACTATTCCCAGGTGACAGGCTGGTAGAGCAGAGGTCCTCTTTGGTATGCACCTCCAGTATGGGAATAGTGGGATCGTAGGGTCCCTCTATGCGGGAAAGACGTGGAAGAAGCGACTGGGGTTTAAACTGCTATTAGGTGCCTTATGAACCTTTCATTTAAGTAATTAATCCTGACACACCAGGCAAAATTTTCATTCAGAGAGTAATAACTGGTGAATGTGGAATAAATTACAGTCTCCACCTTCAACAGTTGTGCAGGGGTAATCTCAGCTGCAAGATCCCCAAAAGTTGTCCTACTCTGGTCACTTCATTTCAGAGAACGGGGAATCTTTGCACGTCAGTTTGACGCTAAGTTGGAAATCCTCAGAGGTCACACACTACAAAGGAATTCACCCTTGACAAAGGAGAGCACGCTCGAAGAAGTGACGTCTGTGTTCAACCTACTACACCACGTGCTCAAATCCTTAGTTCTCCTACACTCCTGACTCTCCACTCCAAGGTGTCACAGCTTCCGTGTCACCTGGAACAGGGGAGCTCTCTCTGACAACCTGCTTTAAGGTGTAAAGGTTTTGGACTTTCACCTTTCCTGCCTTAGGGACATTCGACTCCTTTTGCACGGTGAGAACACCTGGATCAAGACTCAACCAGAGGCACGACCTGAAGCAACTAAAGCAGCAGAAAGTAAACTTAACACAAGAACCAGGCAAAGTTTTGAGCTCATACGTACACTACTGATGCTCGTCATTTAACTGGAAAAGAAAGTGCCCAAAAAAGGTTCTAGATCATAGAGAAAGTGTTCAGCACGGCTGAGAGGGCAGACAGGAGTGCAAGGTTGTGTTCGAACTCTAGAGGAGAAAGACCATGGCGAGTATGCGGCTGGCAGAGGCAGGGAAAATGTTTAACAGATCTTTTTCAAGTAAATAAAGAGAATCTTTGCTTTTGATTGTGCTCACAATGGAAGTAGAAGATGAAGAAGATAATGATGATGAAGAAGATGTAAATGTGTGCAATACAATTCAGCGTTGCCCCCCACCTTCTTTACCATTTCCCATCAGAGTTTGGATCAGCACATTTTGACTCTTGAAGAAGGGATGAAGCCCACCTGCACTGCCTGAAGCATCTGGATGAGGAGCATGATAAAATGAGCTTTGCTGAAGGAAAGCTATTTATAATCCCACTGCCACACACACTCCCCTCTATTCAATCCCTTCAGCTGAGGTACTACCAAGAGAGAAGGAAGAACTGCAACAGATTTGAGAAGAAAAATAGAAGACAACTCCTTGAGTCCAGCAGGAGCTGCTGAGCTGCCTTCTCACCACCAGAAGAAACTTTGCTTCTTGCAATACTGCCAGCACCACAGGAAAGAGAAATGCTGGGTCTTTTCCTGTAATTTCAAAATAACCACAGGCAGCTAAAACCACAAGCTGTTGTCCTCTCCTGCTGCTCAGGTTCCCCAAACCAACACAAGTTTTACGTGAATTTTGCCAGACGAGCTTGATCGAGTCACATAAACAAAGTGAAAGAAAATCCCCGAAGAGATGGTACACTGTGCAGCTGAAACAGAAGCAGCATTTCAACACTGCTATCAACATTTAACACCAACACCTCTCCTTGTTAGAAATCAGTATTTTTGCTAATAAAAAAACCCCAAAATCTCATTCCTTTATAGAGGTGAAACACGCAGGTTGATCTTCCATTATATTTATAGAAGGCCATTTAGTTTCACTGACCTCACGCAAAAAATCCAATCCCAACAACAACAACAAACTTACCAGTGCTACCATCACCTCAATGATGATTAAATCTACTTGAGTCCCTGTTAGGGGAAAAAAAATGTTGGACAAAGAGGGGCAGTGACAGGCTGGACTACACCAAACCCTGCCTCTTGGCTGCTGCTCACACAACGCTGTGTCTCGTGCCAGTGAGGTAGCTGATCGTTCGATTGCTGCGAGCATTGACGCACCGACCCCTCTACAAGGTGATGCGGGGACAGCAGAGTGAAGTCACAGCCTCCATCTGAACTACAGGCAGCAAATCACTGTCCCATGAGGAGAGAGGAAGGGTGGAGTCCTCAGGGGTTCACCTGAACCCTTCCCATCACCATAAGGCTACAGCCTGTGGTGGCTTCACTCCTACAGAAGCTTCCCATGGAGTTCTGGATGCACACTGAGCACTGTGCTTCATCCACTGGGGCACGGGGGAGCCTGGCAAGCAAAGGGCTGAAGGAGGGAGACAGACAGGATGGAGAAAGCTTGAAAATGAAAGTCTTAAAATATACAAAATGTAACACACAGGAAAAAGTTTAAAAGTTGCAAGACAAGAAAAGAAAGAAATATATGGGGTGAGGAGAGAGGACTGGAAGATGGTGGTAGACTCCAGCTTGGGAAAAGGAGCAGGTCAGGTCTAGTCAGCACTACTCCCTCTGGTAGCCACTCAGTTCCACCTCATCCTTGCGGCGACGCTGCGTGAAGAGGGAGCTGAAGGGGTAGAGCTTGGCTTTGGCCTGGAAGCGCTGCCCGGCAATGTCGATCTCGTACTCGCCCTGGTTGATGAAGTCAGTTGTCACCACCAGCTCCTCCCCCGTCTTCTCATCGAAGTGCTGCACGAAGCCGAGGCAGACGTGGCGCTCCAGCGTGTAGCTGTAGGCACTGCTGGTGGTCTTACCCACGTAGCGGCCGTTGCGGAAAATGGGTTCCCCCCACCAGGGCCAGAGGTCCACATCTGTGTCATGGTCCTCAAGAATGAACATGGTAAAGCGCTTGTAGACACCGTTCTGCTTCTGTTCCATCAGCGCTTCCTGGCCAACAAACTGCATTCCCTGTGGACCAAAGGAAGCATCAGCTGATGGAAGGAACACGAACTGTACCAGCTGGTGACCTTCAACAGACAAACTTACTGACACAAGGTGAATTTGGGCTGGGAACTCATGCCCTGTTGAGACAGGCTGCTTCTACATGTGAGAAGCTCAGCTCAGAAGCTTTCCTATCATGTTTGTTGTTCCAGATGTTAAAAGCCACAAAAATATTTGTGAAGTGGACCTGTAAAAAATCATCCTCATTTTCACTGTAGTGAAAAACATCTCACCGTTCTAGTTTTTGCCATTTTTCTGGTTCCAGAACTCTACCATGTTTTATAAACCAGAGAGAAACTCTAACACCACATTAAATTTGTGTCCCTAATTACTACACTCCTTTCTTGAATTATTTGATATAAGCATGTGTTTTGGCTCGTGTAAAGATGTAAGAAAGAAGACAACAAGCAAGTCACCTGCCACCACAAGTGGGATACAACTCTAGGCTGTTCTAACTTTTAGTCAAAATAGAGAATACCCGTTCTTGGCACCTATCCTCATATTTAACTTCATTAAATGCCACTTGGTGCACAGGCTGGCTTTTCCTTCATCAGATTTGGAAAACAGCTGGGAAAAACACCCACCTGTAAGGTACACAGCACCCTCCCCTACACTGAGCAACACAGGACACTACACAGATCCCTGGAACACCACCCAGGAAGGAAGACAGAATTATTTTGATATTTCTGAACTTTTTCGAAGTACAAGAATATAGGTTATAGTTCTGCACTGCACACAGCTCCATCAAAAAAATGACACATTTATCCACCTGGATGGCAGTCTTTCCAGTTCAGCACTGCTCTCCCACCCACCCCAGTGTAGGAGAGGGTGTACCTTTTCCAGCTTGACCTGGAACTCGCGTCCACACTCCATAGGAGTGGTAAAGGCATCCAGATCCTGGCCCCAGAATGCAAAGAACTTCTCAATGCGCAGGCTGCGGAGCGCGTAATAACCAGCATTCCGAATCCCGTACTTCTGCCCCATGTTCATCACCTCGTTGTACACGTGGAGGGCGTACTGCAAAGGAAAGGTGAAACACAGAGCTGAGGACAAACCCCAGGAGAGCGCGACAGCATCTGCTACCACCACGGATGTTACCGTGCCCTGTCTCCAGAGCACATGAGGTCTGACTGACTGGAGTGCGATGCAGGGAAAAGCAGGGAAACTCCTGGTGCCTGCAGGCAGCTGTCCTGGTGTGAGCTGGGCCAGAGCTGGTTCTGTTCAGCAGCTGGAACAGCGCTGGGGGTTGGGTTCAGCTGGGATTTGTCAGGAGAGAAACGCTGAGAACATCCCCATGTGGCATTTGTGTCCCTGGCACTGAAGGACTTTGTGTTTGTCCATCTGCAAGCGCCAGATCTCAGGGGTGAGGAATATTGACGTGGATCAGCTCCATGGGCATTGGGCTCTGCCAAGGGGCTGTTCCATCTCCTGTCCCCCATGGGCAGGAGATTCATGAGGGGCTCTTCCTCTCTTGCTCTCTCTGGCTTTCGCTCGGGCTCTGGCTCTCCCGGGATTGCGGTTTCGGTTCGAGATTGTCGCTCCTGCGGGATCGTGATCTGGGAACGGGCCGGGCTCAGTTGGCAGGTGGTGAGCAATGGCACTGGGCATCACTTATTGGCATATTTTATTACTATTATTATCCTTATTATTTTAATATCAGTATTAATTTAAGTTGGATTTTATTTCAGCTATGAAATTGTTCTTCTCTCACCCTATGAGTTTCCTTACCCTTGCCCCCCAGTTCTCTCGCCTATCCCCCGGGGTCGGTGGGAGTGAGTGAGTACCTGTGTTCGTCTGTCAACCCAGTGACAGCCCAGTGAAACCACCACAGCAGCTTTCCCATGGAACAGACCAGACATCTCACTACCCTGAGTCAACTCGGACAGTGTTTCTGATCATGCATGCAAGGAACTGTCTTAATTAGCTAAGGCAACAGTGTACTCTTACCTCAATGGGGATATAAAGCATGAACCCAGGTTCTCCTGTGTGAGTGATACTCATCACACGGATGCCATTAGCATAGCCCACGCTCATCTCCTGCAGAATCAGAGAGGGTGAAATCATCCAAACTGGAACACAGCACAGAGATCCAGAAGGAGCACAGTGCATAACACAAACCACACCAGCCAGCCCTCTCCTCTTCCTCACTGCAGTTTACCACCAGCACGTACTTGTAAAGAATTTAGATTTAAAAATTCAAATAGTGGTATCACATTATCCAGACTTCTTCATCACTTTGTGACACTTGGCAATAAGCCTTGGAACTAGGTCAGGACACTGGCTTGTTTTCTAGATACGAGACAGAAGCTGAAGAGCAGCTATCTGCTCAGCCTTTCAACATTGACTCCCAAGTCATCGATCCCAGCTGCCCCTCTGACAGCTTCATAATTGATTATATGAAATATGCCAAGATATCAAATGGCATCAAGCCTACAGTGAGGAGAATATTGAAAACAAATGCATATTCATCTAGATATTCAGCAAGCAGAACACAAAGAGAAGTAGTGAAAGTGAGCCAAGTGAGTACATTACCAACCTAGCTCAGCTGTAGTAAATCTACATGTAAATCTAAATTCTCCTCTGACTACCCAAAACATAATTCTTCTCCTCCTGCCACACATGGTTCAAAAAACCTAGCAAGGTGAAGAGGAAGGAAGCACAGTCACTCACCTTGCAAAAGAGAGAGGGAAAGTGATCTGGAGTAATCGGGGCATATGATAACTCTGACAAAACATCCACAGCACGAGGGCCGATCAGATTGAGAGCTAAAGAAGGGAAGATAACAGGATTAGGATGAGACTGGAGAGGTCGTGCCCCGTGTCTAACCTGCACATATGCATGGCCCATTGCTAAAGTCTTAATGTTTATTGAATTAATAGGTACATTTACATTTAAGAATGGAGGAAAGAGTCATTGAACCCTGTCTCCTGACAGTCCACAGGAAAGGAAAGCTGTCTCCCAGCTCATGGCTTGCTAGAAAGAAGGCTCTGAATTGCTGTTTTCATTCAACTGTTTGCAAAGGAGACCCAGCCACCACTCTAGACATCTTGAACAACTAATTGGAATGCAGCAGAAGACACCATTTGTGATTTCAGGCTCTATGAGGATCTCTGCTTTCAGTGATTTCTTACCCGTATACTTCCAGGTCACGTCTTCCATGGTCAGGTTGCTGTCATCAGGCAAGTGGTTCTTCAGCCAGGCCCAGCAATGGACTTGTTGGTCAGTAGGGGAAATCATGAAGAAGCTGGAACAGACAAATTGAAACCAAGAAACAATGAATGGACAGCCACAAGATGACTCAGTTCATTTATGTTCACAAACTACTGGAGCCATTCAGCAGCTTCCAAGCTAACAGGAGATCAAAACAATCTGGTTTGCGAAAACCACATCTAAAAGTCTCTGGATCAATGCCACCACATCTGTCATTACAAGAAACCCCAGCCTTCCGGCATCAGCAGCAGTGTGGTGACAAGAAGTGAGCAGAAGTGAAACCCAGGCAGTTCTACAGAAAGTTCACAGGGTAGCTCAGAAGTCACAATCATTTTGCAGAAGGTATTCAAAGCTCTTCACCACCACTGACTCTGTCTCCTCTGACAGGCAGAAGAGCGCTTGGTTCACACAGCAATTTCTTGTTTCAGCAGAAGTCTGCTCGCACACAATGGTGGTTATTATTAACAGTTTCCAAAAACAGAACTCCACTTCATATGTGCAAATGAGCTACTTGTGGTGTAAGTGTCTGTCACACAAATGGCGAGTCGGAGTACATTACTGACAGAGAAAACATCTGCAGAATTGAGTAGGCAAGGAGGAAAGCTACTGGCTTCACACAGAGAAGGACAATACTTTTAAGCAATACATCAATGTACACAGAAGACAAAGAGAAAGAAAAGCTGTTTCTAATTGAAAGAGCAGCAGAGAATGCTTTCACACCAACACAATGAAAGACCACATAGAAAATGGCTGAGAGAAAGAAAACCAACACTCAGCTGGGATATGCCCATGAAGAAGTTTTTAAAAATGAGAAAGTTGTTGGGTTTTTTTTTAAAATGCCAGAGAGCCCAAACTGCTGAGTCTAAGGATGAGATCCTGTGATCGCTTCAGTTTGCACCAGAGAGCACAAAAAAGAATCATGAGAGACTGCAGAGCTGAGAATCAGAGTACCCATACTGCAAGGAGAGTTGAAATAATCACAAAGTGGTGTCTTCAGCACGGAATTCCAATGAGGAGACTGGCCAGCAGACAATGATAAACCATTTGGTTGTACTTTAAACAATTACCTACGTTAATAAACTCTAATCACTGCTGAAAACAATTTATTACATTTGAGAAGTTAAACAACTGAACATTTTGTAGAGCTCTACGTTCATCTGTAGTCCCAGAAAAAGGCTTGTTTTCCCCAATATTCATAAATTCACAAGTTCCTTCTCATTTGAGTTACTGAATTAGGAATGTAAGCGGAGAATTGCGACTTTTCTTTTTAGTTTACAGTGGTGAAATAAGTCTACAATCTCCACTAAGAGGTTCTTAAAGGTTCTACCACCCAAAGGGTGACAGATAAAGATGCTGTCTGCATACCTACCTGCGTTTGCTCAGTCGTGCTATGCTGCAGTCATTCTCATAACCTCCTTTCTCATTAAGCATGCCTGTATGCACAACATGCCCAACTGGCACATCCAGGTCATTTGAGAAGAGATACTGCAGACTCTCCAGGGCCTGGTCTCCTGTGGACTACAGGAATTGAAAGGGAGAGAAAGTCAGACAAGTTGTCTGAGCAATACAAATCCATGGGGGTAGTTTAAGATTGCATCCATGTCCTGGCCCAAATTCTTTCAATTTGTAACGATGGTGACACTGATGTCTCAAGCGTAACAGGACACAACGGTGACATAGTGCCAGAGGTCAAATGCTGTTTATAGACTAAGCTGGTATTACTATTAACTGGGCCCTTGACAGAGAAAAAGTAATCTGTGCTAAATATTGTGGTACAACCTGAATTTGGTCACACAGCTCAACTTTATCTATTGTCGATAGGACACAGAGAATTTTGCAAAAGCAGACAATAATAAATTAAAAGTCACCTTGACCAGGTGGATGCCTTCTCACTTCCTAGGTACTTACACTTATCTCAAACTTGGTGAAAGACGACATGTCGATGACACAAACCGCTTCCTTACAGCACTTGACTTCGGAACCCACAATATCAAACCAGTCTGGTTTGTAAAAAGTTTTGCTCTGATCCAAATCCAGCAGATCTAATGTAAAAAAGAATCAAAGGGACAATTCATAAACGGGATGAACTAAGATCTTACACAGACCAATAGGGATGCACTAGACAGAGGAAAATACGATCTCACCTTTCCCAGGTGGGACAAAATACTTGACTCTCTCAAATCCATGCTTCTCCATCCACCGGGCTCCCTGTGCATCCAGACGGTCGTACAATGGTGAAGTACGCAGCTGCCTGCCAGTCTGGAAGTCCCAACGGGGAACTTTCAGATCACACATGAGGGCTGCAATAGTCACAAAGATCCATTATTAGGCAAATTGATTATCTTTATGTAAAAATTTCTTCCAGATTATCAATAAACATACTTACTAATAGCTGAGCCATTCATGAAATTCCCTCAAAACAGTTCTGACCTTCCTTTCCCGTTTTTGAAAATTAACAAATCTGTTTTGATCCATTTATAGCTATTCAAAATCAGAGTAATAATATTTGCACAGAACACTTATGGTCTCATGACAATACTGTCAGGATAACACAAACTATTTGTCATGAAGTCATGCTGACTCGCATTAATTAGGTCTGATTCTTCCCTGACAGCGCACTGTGTCAGACTCTTACCATTTTAACAATACTAATGCTGGGGTGGGCAGCCCACAGCTCCAAGGATCACCTCATTTACCTTCTTAAGTACTGGCAGTTCAACTTTTTCTAATTATTGAAGCCTTTCCAATTGGCTCCTATACCTTTTCAGTCAACATAGAATGCTCTTTTTTAGGAAACAAGTTACCTTAATGAATGCTTAGCATCCTCCCTGGTTACCAGTGGGGAGTAACAACTCAAGGATGCTGGAATACTCCTTTATAAATGTTAAGTTTCTACGTAAGTCATAAACTGCTTAAAACTGAAGATAAGCTGAACATTTCTTACTGACTACTTCTATTGATTTTGCCTCACAGACAATGATTTAATGATTTTATTGGCATTATCTGGTACTGGTACTCCCAAGAGTGGGCAGAGGGAAGAATAGATTAGAATGGGAACATAACACCACAGAAATTGAATACAGCATTTATCTTGTAAAAACCAGAGTGATTCCGTAGCTATCAGAATCAAGATTTGTATGGGAAAGCAACTGCAGAATAATGCCAAGGGTATAAAGTGATTTTTCTGGGAGGAAGGTCAAAATATAAGCTTTTTATTTCCTGAGTTAAGAGGTTTACTCAACTTCTCTGCTTCCATCTGAACACGTTTTTAGTTTAGACTTGGTATTCAAATAATCATTTGTGTTTTGCAACTTGTGGAGGACTTCATACTTCTATTTCAAACTTGAAGTTGTCCACATTATCTCGGGACAGATAATTAAACAATAGAAGGAAACTAAGTATGGCTTTAGACAGGAACAATGACATCTCCAGTCTGTTCTGCAAGGTATTTAGCGCAACCTTTGACAGAAGAAAGCAGAATATGTCTACAAAGACTTCCTGAATGATGTAAAATAACTGGATCACATATTCCTAAGCTGGAAGTGACCATATTTCCACACTGTAATGATGTGCAAAGAATAACAACGTTTGAGACAGCGTAATATTCCCAGTTAAGACCCTGGCATTGTTCTATTAGGCTGGAGTCCTACACAGATACACACAAATTTCCCCATACCAGAGACAAAGCACAGGAACAGGAGAGATCATGGTACCAACAGCATCTCTTTAAGAAAAGTTAATAAGAACACTGCTAATACAAAAAAAATCAACCAAACATCCTTTCCTTTCTCCTGGGAAGAGGCTGTATTGCCACAAAGGAGGCCAGGAAGAAGGAAAATGGTTCTCAGAGGGATGACAGAGGAGAGAGAGTGCAGCAAAGAGGAAAATATTGGACATTCTGGCCAGCACTGGCTGCAGAGACCTCACTTACGCATCACTTCCATCACACGGTGACGGAGGAAAGTGCGACTGCTCTGAAGGCTGCCAAAACGTTTCAAATCCAGAGGCCAGACATTTTCTGATGGATACCCATTTACCATCCACTCTGCCAGGTACCTGATGGAAGAAGCAAAGGAAGACTGAGATATCAGACAATGTCTTAAGGGAAAGACTAGCTTTGAAGTCAGAAGCAAAGCAATTTGGACATGAGAATTTCTTGCAGTAGGGAGAAAGAAGACAACTGATAAAGTGTTCTAAATACTAGCAGAATATGGAAGGTTTCCCTTTATAAAACCCATCCACCAGATTTCCAAATTATAATTTCCCATTAGGATGAAACATACAGGGCAGCAGGAAGTTAAAGATACGTGATAAATGAAGCCAGAGCCTGGACAGATAGCCTGGCTGACACTGTGTCATGTCCTCAGGCTACGCTACAAAAGGAGGTGCGAGTAGGTGTAGGTTGGAGTTAGGAGGCTGACTGTGTTGTTGTGTTTCAGTACCTGGTGTAGGCTCAGCCACAAACCATCAGTGACAGCATTCATTTCAGCACGAGGTGCCAGCCAAGTTATGTTTAGCTACACTTCTAGCAGTGAAGGAGGAAGGCATGCTCCAGAGCTAAAGGACAAAGGCAGCTCAGACCAAAGCAGAGCAGAAGGATCTGTTCACAGTCAGTAAACAGAAAAACAAAGGGGTTTGAGACCGATCATTAAAAGTTACATTAGCAAGCTAAGCTGCTTATCTTGAGGCTGTAGCAACAAACGGACAAACAGTACTTTCACCTTCAGAAATGACTTTGATTCTTAGAGAACCTTACCACAAAGATTCTCCTTATTTTATATGACAAAGAAAAAAAAAAATCATGAGTTGCTTCCTTGGGGAGTTAAATTATTGGGCAACGGACAGAAACCAGTGGAGACAAATGCAGATACTACCACCTGCCATAAAAATCGAGCAGCTTGGTAAAAAGGCTGTATGGCAGAAGGGGTGCTGGGTTGCCAAAAGCAAATGGCAATCAGATGAACCGAGGATCATTCTGCAAGCAACTTTGCTGCTGGGATCACACTTATATTCCTGACAAAGTATCTGCACTAACACAGGAACTGGATTTTACTGGGAAACAGTTCCATCCCTAGCTCACTGGCACAGGACAGCCTTTAACAGTACTGGCAGCACTGTCATCACATAGGCAGTGCTTCATCTGCACCCAATTCCCTCTGCTTTCACAGAAATTAACTGCTGGGTCAACTTGAATGCTCTAAGGACTTCAGTCAAATAATAAATTAAAGGGGATCACAGACTGCAGAAGATGAGGGAATATAAGTTTTGCTAAGTTTTTATCTCTACCTGGTAGACAAAAAAATCAAACCAGTTAGCTCTAAGGAAGTTTACTCAATCCCCAGCAGGCTGCTGATCACTGAGATGCGGTGCCTGACACAGGATAGGAGGAGAGTCCAACACAGATTTGGAATACTCACAGGAGAACATAATCAGAACATGGTAACTGCTCCTCCTTCACTCAAGTTGGAAACCAAAGAGGAATCTTTGTTAGAGAGGAGGTGACAAATACTGACCAGAACATTCAACACTGAAGGATTGCCTGAGCAGTCTCTTTTCTCGGTTAAAGCCTTATTTACACATGTAACAGTGATAAATCACTTACTTGCCTGCTCCCCCACCATATGAGATACCAGCCGAGTTCATGCCAGCCAGGACGAAGTAGCCGCGCACGGTGGGCGACTCTCCCATGATACATCGCATATCTGGCGTGAAGGACTCGGGGCAATTCACCAACTGCATGATCTGCAGAGCCTCCAAATCCGGCATCCTGCGCAGAAGGGCACTCAGAAGAGGCTCTAGGATCCAAGACAAACAAAAAAAGACAAAAAGTCACAGTTTTGACACATTTCAGCTACTTCGCCTTCCAACTGGACAGCACGACAGAGGCATGCTGCTATCTGAAGAGATGGAAACTGCTTCCATGTTTTGATAAAGCGTTTACCTGCTGGAATCAAACTACTCAAAAGGGATCACACAGCACACCAGGAAAGCAGCCACGCTGATCCAGAGCAAGAGTCTACTCTTGTTTGGAACAGCACAAGAGTGTGTTCAGTTTTGTGAGGGAAAACAATAGGAACACACATCAAATAGATACCCAGTGAGGAAGAAGAACAGGTAAATCTGATGCTTGTCCCACGCACTCTGCCAGCCTCCACTTACCATCACCTCAGAGGATTTCCTAAAAACTCAGTGTTTTCCCTATTTAGTAACCCCTACATTGATCTCTCTTCTATGTACTTGATCAGTCTTCCCCAAACTCACAAAAACATCCTCCAGATGCTGACAAGGACTTCCACATGTTTAGTATTTGTTGTATGAGGAATCACCTCCTTTTGTTTTGAAATTCACACTCAGTTCACTTTTTTTGATGACTCCCACTGGCATAATAGAAGAGACAGCAAACAGGAGATCCCCATCTATCTTCTCCATCTCATTCAGGATTTCACAGACCTCTGTTTATTTCCCTTCTGTCATCTCTTTTTCCCAGCCTACTCAGTCATTCCACACTTGGAAACTGTTCCAAGCTTTGATCAGCCTCTCGTTGCTCTTTCACCAGGCCTTGTCCAGTCACACGATACCCTCTGGAGAGAGGGAGCCCAGAACAGCAGCTGGTATCTGGCAAACCAAGGATTCAGTGTCGCATAACGACTGTGTTTTCTGCTCCTTTCCTAATCATTCCTAACTTGCCTTTTGCTTTGACTGCTACTGAGATGATATCTTCACAGAACTCGTACAACCCCCAGGTGTCAGTTCAAAGCCCACCACTTTGTACAGAGAAAATAAGACCACCCTCACGCACTCGCGTCACTTCGCATTTATCCTCATTGAATTTCCTCGCCACTTCATTGCCCAGTCATGCTGGAAAGGTCCTTCAGCAATTCTTCGCAGCCTGACATTTGAGAGTGTTAATAAAGGGATAAGCTAGCTACTCTGGTTTTCTTGTTCAGAAGTTACCTCTGCATAGTACCCCAGATAAAAGCCCTCAAGACTCAGCACCAATAACACTCCTCAGCTTTACACACAAACAGTAAAATAACCAGATTACCTTGGAAGTTACAAACAGAAACCATCTTTCTGACCTGCTCTGTCCCTTCCCTCTCTCATGCATCAGAATTCCAGAGTGAGAGTCTGTAGTAACAATTTTTTTTTTCCTTATTGATAAAAGAGGGATCAGTGTTAGATTTGTTCTCATATCCAGCCCAACATTTGAGCAACTGTATTTGCTATTTAAAAAATTCAAAAGTTGTTCCAACAAAAAGAGATCAAAGCATCAATGCAAAGAGCTCAAACCATGGGAACTGCAGCCCTAGAAAAGGATCAAATATTGGCTGAGTAAGCTCTGACTCTGCTCAACAGTCTGGTATGTTTGAGCTGATAAAAGCTCAATGCTGGAACATCGCATGCAGCTGCTTTTGAAACTTGGGCAATTTGTGGGCACCAGCAAGCAGTGCCTTTTCATCTCTAGAAAACCAAAAAGGAAGCAGAAGCAGAGCTCGAGCAACTCATTACTGAAACTAAAATCTTCAGGTAAGTCTGTAGGGATCTATAGATCTACAAATGTTTAGCATACCCCAGCACAAAACTGCACCCCATCCTGGCTCCACCCCCCCCGAGTTTAAACTTTTATGGTATCAATACGGTATCTCACAGAAATGAAAGTAAAATTAATCAGTTTAACCTGGGGAGTAGCTGGAAGAACATACTACCACTGCAGAAAGAAATCAGTGAAAATCCATCTGTGCCCAGAGTCACATAGCGAGGCACGCACATTCACAAGGGATGCAAAGAGTTCTGACACAAGGGAGAACTGGAGCACTGAAAAAAAGGCAAATTTGAAGACAAAAGGGCACACACAAACTTACCAGGCATAAAAGAGGAAAAGAAAAAAGAAAGGGTCTCCTAGAGCATGCTACATTCCTTCCTACAGAAGGAGAGCTTCGTGTAAAAGTACATATGGAATATAAAACCAGAATCAAATAAAAAGGGGGGAGAAAGACAGAATGTTTGGAATATAATAAACCACCACGGTCAGTGAAGTCTGGGAAGCAACAATACGGATTTCTGTCCACAAAGCAATCGGCACCGATGGAAATGGACTTGGCAGTCACTGCTGAAGAGAGCTGCAGAAACAAAATACCACGGCTACGTGGCAGGTCAACAGTGTTGATCTGCAGTGTCACAGGAGGAGCAGCATGTGGCACTGACAGTCAAAAATCAAATGAAATAGAGGAACAGTGTTGGAAAGTTTCTGTGGCACCTTGCAGCACCAGAGGAAATTAAAGCTGAGAGTTAGGGGGAGTTTTTAAACACTACGCAGATACTGATGTAGTCCTTGGCAAAGGGGTTTTATGCAAATTACTGAAAAATGAAGAAATTAATGAATTTGAGAGAATGTTCATCTTTCCCACACCTTTCAGGTAAAGGCAGATGTATGCTAGCTGGTCAATGACAGCCTGCATTGTCGCTAACTCTGCCTTCTGCTGAAGCCACGTGTTTCATTGCTGTGGGAATCCTTCCTCCCTGACGTACCAAAATGATCCCAGTCTTCCTGAAGGTGCTGAATCTCCAGCTGGTTCCGTCCCTCCGTGAAAAGAGGTTTGGGGTTTTTCTCAAAGCCTCCCGAGAGGATGCCACCTTGCCAGTTGCGGATGTAGATCCTGCCATCTGGGTCTACAATAGCTGCAGAGGAAAGAAAAGAGGTGGGAAGGGAATTGAGAGAAGGGATGATAGCCTCAGCTCAGGCTGTGTGTTCCACAAACACCAAGGATGGGGTCTGGTGACAGGCTGGGCCAAGCTAGTGGCCCCCTGACATGAGAAGGGACAGTCTCAGTCCCCCAAGCCCACACTTTCACACCATTATGGTTCTCACCTGACGCCTTGGTGAGCCAGTTTAACTTACTAAACCAGCATTAACTCACACCACAACCACGTATGTTCAACTTCTGGGCAGCACAGTAAACTGAATTGAGCCTGAAGAGCACCCAAGCCAGCAGGACAGGGCTACCAGGGAGGTCACAAGAGGGAGTCAGATCCTTTGTGGCACTGATAAGCTATTATACCAGCTTAGTTCCACTGGAACTGCACCCAAGACCAGACCTTCCACCAAGAGATGTGCTGCCCTCCCCCTCCTTCTCTTCCTCTATTAAGAACAGTTCATTTTAATGGGGATGCATCACTGATCCTGTTTGCTGCAGGCCACCAGCACAAAGAAGGTGGGCAGCACTGGGGTGAGGACAAGGAGGCAGGTCTGGATTGCTTCTTCCTGTGATAGTGTCAACTTGAAGCATTTATGATAGTCCACATGACGTGCTCCATAGCAATTTTTCCCATGTACAGAGAAGCTGTGAAAATATATCTCTGTGTGTGTGTATATATATAAAACTCAGTCAAGTAAAAGCGAAGCACTAGGGGACTCTGGGCAGAGCTGAATTCCCTGGAGAGAGTATATACATTACTCACTAGAAGCAGAAACTCTTGCTAAAGACTGAGAGTAAATAAGCAAAGCTTTCTACTTCCCAAAGACAGTTTGCAAACACAAGGGCTTTTCAGAAGAGATCCAGAAGCCAGAATATGGGGGAGGAGCAATTACCTCAAGTGCTCTGGTTGCCCCTACAGCTCATAGACATGTAAATGCCATTGTAAAGCCTTAGCTTCAGTTGAAGGAAAGGAATAGATGGGTCATTTGGGGACAGCAGCCTGCAAGGAAAACACAGTGCCAAGGCTAGCACCCTCTCCAGCCCACAAATGCAACAATCCAAGTCTCAGACACACCTACTAGTCAAGCTAGAGTCAAGGTCATTCTCCTGTTACCGTGACCGACTTTGAAAATCAATTTCTGCAGCAAAAGCTTTTCCAAGAGTAAGGAAAGAGATTTGACCACTGAAAGAAGATTTTCAGAGCAATGCAGCTAGAATGTACTTCACAATCCCAAATGAGCTGAGAACTGATAGCCCTTAACTGACCTTTATGTCATAAGCTATGCATCGTCGCCTTGGAAAGGCAGATATAATTCACCAAGAAAAGTTAAGTAGAGCTGAAGAACCCTTACTTGGTAAGTTGCTTGCCAGAGGTTCCTTCAAAGGATGTGTCAGGAGGTAGAAGTGTTCACAGGCATGGAGTGGGATATTGACTGGTTCCTCCCCAGAGTGGCCCAGCTCATAGGCCCACTGAAATAAAAAAGGGCATGTTAGAATGTGAAAGAAGAAAACCTAACTCCAATAAAAAAAGGCAGGACAAAAGCACAGGTCCTCTCTGGGGGGTTTGCTTTCATAAAAGGCCAAATCAGATTTAGTTTAGTCCCCTAAACCTTAGACATGTTTTTCTCTTTGCTTAGAATTTGAACTGTTTAGGACAAAGAACTTTTCTGTTCCTCACATAAGATCTAGAAAACTGGGGCCTTGATTCAAGACGAAGAAGTATCGACTTACAATAAAAAAGCAAAATAAAATGTGGACACCAAAGTCAACATGAGGCTCAGCCTCTAGAAGCAGAATACTCAGGATTTAGGTGACTGTACAACAAAAAAGGAACTTTCAGTGTGTGTGTGAGAGGAAGAGAAGGGTGGAGGGAGTTAATTGTCTCACTAAAAGCCAAAGCAAAATTACTCCTGTCAGAGGGTGCAACCCCCAGGACAGGGACCGTGGGCAGAGCTGCACCAACACGCTGCAGGGTGCTCCACAGCAGGTTAACATCCCATCTGTGGTGCCAAGAAAACAGCAAGCACTGCTCTCCTCCTTCACACCCCTGCTGCTCTACAAAGCTGAATAATGTGACTTTCATCAACCCAAGCCAAAGCACAAACAGGAAAAAAAAAAA